AATGTTTGTCCCTGAAATTACATTACCTGTTTAGCTTGTGAGTGTGAGTGAGTAATATGTAGATTTATGAGTTTTTTTTTTTTCCCTTTTTCTTTTTGAGAATGACAAATTCTCATTGCTAGATAAAGAACGCCATCTATGTGAAATGAAGGGAAATCAAACAGGGTGATATATAATGGACCACTCTTTGGCTGTCCTAAACAGTATGAGCTTTACTAAACAAGGCATGAACAGCTAAATTACAATATCTAGAATTCCAAAAATAATCAAATGACAGAAAAGAATATCTTAACACTTGTACATCCTCAAGAAATAAACCAAATTCAGAGTTAGGAGGTGAGATAGAGAGTGAATCTTTGTAAATGAATTGGGAATCTCACTCTACTATTATGTGCTGGAAACCCATATCTTGTAACACCTCTGAACCATATATGAGAGTTTGAAATTTAGCAAGTTCAACAGAAGAAGGTGAAGGTATTCTTAGTATACCTGAAAACAAGACTTCTTCATTTGAGCATCAGCTCATGATCCAGGCTTGACCGCCCAACCTAGAGTTTTCTTTTTCCTTTTTTATGATATAGACCCACCTATACTAATAAATGCATTTGCGTTAATTTTGACTGTCCCAATCTGAAGTGTACCCATTTATCAACACACACCTTTGTGCACCACTATGTTGTGTGTTATATCACCTTTCAGTCTGTACTCCTTGCAATTCATAAATATATCTTTGTAGTCTCTGAACTAAAACTGGAGCGTTATATCAATGGTCACAGTGGATCCATTAGCTCCTCAGCCCCTCAAATACTCCATAAATATATATATGTATAATATATATGAACCATACTTTTGCCAATATAGGGGATAGTCCTTTGAGTTAGCCACAGAAGCCTTGTGATTGCATGGGGCCACCCTGGAGTGGCACAATATCCTATATTTCTGGCCATATTCACCAGACTATAAGCAATAGATCAATTGTTTCTCCCTCCCCACACATTGTGCAAATGGGGTAAATTTGCGTACCTTTCTGAATCAGTCTAAGTCTGATAGGCAAGATGTCTTTTGATAATCTCCGCATCATATGCTTTGCTCGTGGTGATAGAGGGGCTATCCACACTGTTTCCAGAGGATCACTTCATTTCTCATAGATGTTCCTGCACCATTATTACAATGGTTGTATCATGTTTGATAATATCCTAATTTCACACTGTAATTACCTTTTGTATCATGCATCCATAGTAGTTTATCTTGGATGTAGACCTCTACTTAGCGGTATTCTAGTAATCAGGGTAGCATCTTGTGGGGGAAAATAATTCTCATAAGATCCGTTATCCATTTTGGCCTTGAGCGTCAATCAAATCAGCAACCAAAGCAACAGGAGCATATCTTGAAACTACTTATCAAACTAGGCCAGCACATTTTGGTCATTCTCAAATTTCCTCCCAAGTCTATCTTCTAACAACTCTCAGTAAGTTTCTCCAAGTATAATTAGGTTTGGAGCCTAGAGGAGCATATCTGACATCCCCATTTCTGAAGTATCGAATGAGGATTGGACATCAACTCCAAGCTTGTTTTGCCAATAATGCAATGTTAATACTCTGAAAATTCCTGAAGCCAAGGCCACCATCTCCTTAACTTGAGCACGACTTGGACCTTTGTACGCAATGCAATGCAATGCACTATCTTCATTTTTTTCAGCCAAAACCTAGCTATTAGTTTTTCCAGGCGAGCACATAAAGATCTTGGATGAGAAACATACTCATAGCGTAAGTCTAGATTTGTGAGTAATTTTAACATTGATTAAATTATTATTCTGAACAAGTTATTAATCTAGTAGTTATATTATTCATCCTGTACATTGAAGTCAAAGTCTGCACTGCATGAACAGTAACAGTGGCTTAATAGGAGAGGCACGTTTCTATTTCTTTCTTTTGCCATCCGTTATATTTGTTTTCTATCTTTTTAATACTTCTATTTCTTATATGTTTGTCATCTGTTCTTAATTTTTTCCTTTACCCTTTTAGGTTAATTTTTTCTTTTTCCCGTCTTAAGAGGTGAATTATGTGAACTTTTTTTTTTTTTTTTTTTTCTTCTGAGAGGACTCTTCCTTTCCTTTTAATAAATTTTTAACATTTGTTTTCAACACATTTTTCCAGTCTTTAGACTTTGTAGGGCTAAAAAGAAGTTTTATGCTTTTCTACGTATTACATTCTGTTGAAGACGAAACTACGTTCATTTAAGATGCATTTAGTAATTTAAGTTTCTTTGGAATGGTGGTTTTGACAAGTCAATTGGCATATAATTAATTGATGAAGAAAAAGAAAAACATGTTGAGGAATGACAAAAGCAAAGCATTTCCTTAAAGATCATATCTCTATAATTGATGAAGTGGAAACTTTAGGCTGCCACAGCCTGGCGTGTTGCAGTGGAATTGTCAATGAATGACCCCTTTCTCCATCTTCTTTTCTTGCGAAATATCTGCTTTGGCATTCGGCTTTTTCTGGTCCTTTCCTTTCGTAAATTGAAAAGCACCGAGGGGGGTTGTGCTCGTCAGCTTACATGTGACGAACGAAACCCATCATTTCATTTTCTTGCTTATGTCCGGATCTGGTTCGTGCTCGATCAGAATCTCTCTCTTGGTGATCTCTGAACTCCCAGGAATATATATGTTGAAATATAGGGAGTTGATGCAAACTAAAATAATTATAATTTCCCTCTCAAAAAAACGAAGAGAAATTAAAATTAATTTTATAAATATTGATTCCCAAACAACAATGAAAGACCGATGATTTTTCCTCACAGAAATTCGGAAGAAGACAGACAGAAAAGAATGAACGAGTACGCTACTGGTGTAGAATGCAAGGCAGATATTTTGCAAGAATCAACTGAATCAAATTTATATGATTTGACCGTGTAAAATACGCTTCTACATATTACGCCTAGAAACAGCCTTCAAATACAAATCGAGACATACTGTCTCAGTTCGTGCATGCGTTACAGTCTCACAACTTTTCATGATCTAATCCACAGCTTGCTCTAAGGAATCCTCTCTCGATTTGGGTGTAATAAGCATTTTGCAACGATTTAAATTATAAAAAAAGAAAAAAGCCCAATTAATCAATCCAGAGGATGATAAAAAGTGGGATCCTTCTGCACCAAACTATATATATATATATATATATATTTGCCGGCCAATTAGTTAATGCTATATAAAATGTCGATTTGCTCTCGTCTCTCCTTCCAAATTGAATTCCCTGATCGAATTGTAAAAGTTTCTTATCATGATATACCTTCTCCATAAAATTTCTAAAAGGTAGAAAAGTTTAATCAACAGATATTGTAGAAGTAATTGAATATAGTAGCTGTCCAACATAATTAAAAGAAAACTTCCCACTTGCTCATCCAAAATAGGTGACGCGTACCACTCAAATAAATAAACGAAAACACGTATTAACTCTAACCAAAACGACAGAGGAAGAGTCACGTTCTTGGGCCATTCATCTTAATTTCTGGTTCCTTGTCTTTCTATCTTTGTGTAACCACCACCATTTGAACACAGACCCATTTTCTGTAACTCTTGAGAACAAATTCCCAGTCGCTAATTTAAACGAACGGCAAAAACTGAAAGATAAAAGGCAAGAACTAGACTTATAGCAACTGTTGATTTCCCAAGAAATGCTGCAGCGTCCGGTGCTGATGATGATTGATCAGTTTGGTGAGGAGGTTTCCGATAGTAGAACGGGAAATAAGGCAAGATGGGGTCAGGTGGAGGAGGGGCACCATAGGGATTATTATTATTAGTGCCATAAGATGGTGTAGGATTATTTGGTAAATTTCCTGAGGCGGGCGTAGGGTAGTACCCCGGAGGAGAGTATGAGCCTGACTGAGCATAGGGTGGTGTGAGTGTGGCCGGAGTCTGTTGTGAACCAGAGCCGGAACCTGTTCCGGTGGGAGGCGGATAACACGGGTATGCGCATGGGTTATCGGACAGTGTTGTGGCCGAGAAGTTGACGATGATGGAGGTGAGGAAGAGAAGGTGGGTTAGTGTTGTGGGCATCGTCGTGAGTTGCGAGGAAAATTTAGGAGAAAGGAGAGAATGAAGTGTTGAAAGTTAAACAAGGGTGGTGTGGGTGGGGGACCTATTCAGAGACTTTTGAGATTCTTTTGTCATGAATCAATAAAGATTGAAAGATTTAAAAGCAAACCCTTTTTACTTCTTATCATTTTTATCTTCAATTGAAAGGTATACACATATACACGTATAATACTTCTTCTTTTTTTGTCTTCAACTGACAATACACTCAATACAAAATAATTACTGGGTGTAACGTGTAGATTAGCATGGAAGATGTGTGTAAGACGAACATTATTTGTGTTTAATTGTATACATGCGAGTTGTTGGAGAATGTATATTATGATCTGCCTTGGAACAATCAATCCAAAAGCATTCATATTGAGATTTGGAGGAATTGGGAAATTCTGTATGTCGCCGATCCACCCACATATATCAGACTTAATACTAATTATATATAAACCCTATAGTTTTATGTACGTATAGGTGTGTTCATTTGTACTTAGAAAAGAAGGCAAATATAATTGAAGTTTGAAAAAGTAAATTGAAAAAGGAGTGCCGTTTAAGACTTGTTGTTGAAGATTTATGCTTTAAGCGAAGACCAAGAGAAAAATTTCTTCTCTAGTACCATAAGATATATAAGAGAAGAGTTATATATTTAATGAAAAGTAAATATTAATATAGGGGCGTAATTGACTGTATAATTTAATTAGAACCCATATTTTTATAAAAGAAATTTAAAAATATTAATTCCCTAATTAGATAATTTTATTAATGACAAGTTTAATAACCATTGATTTGCAATTATTAAGGGTCAGTAGTGGTTGGACTTAGAGCCAAAATTTGATTCCTCTAATACAATTCCAACAATCCAAAACACCCACGACTCTCACAAACACATTTTCTTTTATAGTTTTTGGGTTCATCGAAGGTTCCCCCCCCCCCAACCCTTACGCGTTTAGCACTTACCCACCATTAAAAATATTCCTAATCATATGAAAATGGAATATAACATTAAAAACACAACATAAATTAATTCAACTCTAAACCGAGTGCTGTTTGATTAGTTTAATTTGCCAGTCACCATTTCACAGTGTGTGTGTGTGTGTGATCTTATACTACGAATGCCTTACGCAATTGAAATCGAGCATATGGGGCATGGACCCCCACCCCGCCCACCCACATCTGTGATGATAAGTGGGAGCCATAGATCGGTGAAACCGAAGTTGATCTCATCCTTGCTTGACACTTTCCATACGTCTAGATTCAATTTCAATTATGTTGAAAAGCCTAAACTAATCAACCGACTCTAATTTTAGATAAGCCCGGACTCTTCTTTTTTCTCATGCCAATCCACATGTTCATAAAACGACATTGCTTCTAATTGACACCTTCGTATTCAACCATTTTATATAAATATAAACCAAACAAACACCATTCACCACCAACCAGCGCTGGACCCCATTCAACACTTTCATAAGTTTCTAATTCAGACGGCTGTGGAAATGCTCCAATCATCCATTCAACATCCACCCTTCTTCTACATACATACAACTCCCATTTTTCAAATACAAAGTTAAATAGTTTCATCAGATTTATTATCGTATTGATTGTATGAAACCCATGATGAAAACAATTAACAACACTGCTAAATTGACTTAGAGATTGAAATATATAAAAAGATTGTTGTTATAAATTATTTAAGGTGCAGACAAGTACAAAATTAGGTCCCTAAAAGTAAAAGTTTGAGTTTTTGAAGGATAAGAATTTTGGTGCTCCTTTAATCAAAAAGTTGACCACTTACCGTACCATCTGTATCTTCGCATCAGATCCCATCACCACTGATCACAAAAAATTGGACCACTCGATCACCAAATACCTAAGACCATCAACAACCCACACACAACTACGACCGGCAACTTCACCACGGAACTCCGTCCAACGCCGTTAAAGTCGGTGTCGATTGGGTACAAGTTCCCCGGCGGACCAGTTATGAATATATAGGAGGGCGGCGGGGGAGGGCAGTTTTTGGTGGAGGGCGGCTTTTTGGGAGCCGGTGGTGGAGGAGGCGGCGGACATGGCGGTGGGGGGGAGGGCGGTGGAGGACTCTGAGTGCATGAGGTGCATTTCACGCTTCCGTCGGTGCCCTCATCCAGCTTCCTTGAGTTCGAGTCCGCTGCCGTAGTGAGATGTGTAAGAGCCGTGATGACCACGAATAGGAGATAAGCATTGAAACGCAGCGCTCTGATCAGCCTCATATTAAAAGGGCGAGAGAGAGAGAGAATTTTCTGGGTGGAGAAGAAGAAATGAGAGTTACGTTGATAGGTGCATGGGGAATGTGAACATGGAGGTGTGTTTATATGGGCTCCTTGGGGGAATGATAGGTTTAAGCTCTTGGGTTTGTTTTCTTCTCGCCTAAATTCCACAGAGGGAATCGCCCCTTCCATGTGGGGCACTGGTCCCACCCGAGGGAATGCGATATTGCCTTCTATAATAATTCACGAATTTTTTAAAAATTAAAATAATCACTTGATTAAAACCTTTAAATTAATTATTAATCGAGTATTTAATTCTAAAGCATAGTTCTTAATTTTCAAGTAATGCACTTGCTTCATGCTGTTGCATGTGTAAAGTCTACGAATTTATTGGTCGCATGCAAAGTCTTTCTTTTAAATAGGGAAGTGGGCATTACCCACACCACACCACGTGGAGTCCATATATAATTAATAAGTCCAAGTAAGGAAAATAATACGAAATTGCATGTGTATATATGTTTTCTGTGCAGACTGCATGATTGATTTCAAAGTTTTTTTAATTACATAGTTTAAAAGCATTTGAAAGAATATATAAATTACGGGCATAAGCACTTAAATCACATCTGAACATCATAGGCATAACTTTGCCAACACGAAATTACATCCTATTGAGTTGGCATATAGCAAATTATAATCGTATTGTCTACGGCTCCTTGTTTTGTATATATAGTAATGGAAAAGGAAAGTCATCCCCTACCCTCTTCTTCTCACCTACTCGACATACATACACCAGCTTATTACGTAACTGTAAAAAGTCATTTTAAGTGAAAAAGGGGAACCAACAAATACGTATGCTTTTATTTCTTAAAATGGGCTTTTTGAAATGGCCCAACTTCTTGTTCACAAAATGGGCTTTTTGAAATGGCCCAAATTCTTGTTCACAAAATGGGCTTTTGGAATGGCCCACGAGAACATTCATGGCAACTCATTCATAATTGAAAATAGTTACTCGTTCCATACATGTCAAGGCCTGAATCACGCGCATTCCCGACATTTACGTCACAGCGTCTCTTCTTGCAAGAATTCGAGTCTTGTGAGTTACTAAAAGAAGACAAAGGAGAAGAGCCCTCGTCGTATCCAAAGCCTTCCGCCATTTCCATCCACATTGATTGTATCTCCTCCATGCTGTAATACTTTCTCTGCGGACACACACACATACACACACATATAAGTTCATATTTCCTCTCCCCATGTCGAAGCATATGTATAAAGTTGGATGAGACTCAGAAATTATACCTTTTTCCTACTCTGAGCTATGAGAACCGTCATTTCTCGTACAAAATCACAAAAACCCTGCAAGTTGGATTCTTTAGATATGAGATTTCCCCATTACATTGCAGAAACAGAAAGATAAAAGAACGGGGAGAAAGAAAAAAAAAAGGTACCTCATCTTGCTCCTCGTCAGGGTCGTAGAATCCTGCGTCATATAGACTCCTCTTCCTCGGATCCGATAGAACTGTTGATTTTTAACAACCAAAATTTAGTAACGTCGTAAAATCCTGGAGAGCAGAGTGATGAGTTAAAAACTCCATAGAGATCGAGGGAACGTTACCCGAATAAGCCTCCTGGATTTGCTGGAATTTACGCTTGGCTTTACCTAACAAAGATGGAGTTTTTGTCCATCTGTCTGGATGCCACCTCTGCACCAGAAACACATGTACATGGTGTCAGCTTCACTTACTCAAAACTCGTTAAAACCAAATTATTATGTAAATGAAAAAGAAGCAGAGTGCATGCCCACCATTGCAAGCCGTCGATAAGCTCGCCGTATTTCTTCAACAGTGGAATCCACATCCACCCCAAGAACGCTGTAGTAAGAAGGCGATGAACCCCCTTCACTTTCTGCCTCTATCGCCATCGTCGTCCAATCCAACAAACTTCTACCAAACCGCTGCGCTTTTGAATTAATCAACTATCTAACTAGGAGGCACGTAGTCAATGAAAACAAGCTGAACGGCTAAGAGGGTGTATATAAATAACTGAAGGTCGACTTGATGGTGATAAGGAGTAGTCGAGAAGCTTTAAAGTGAGAGAAAAAATATCTGCAGCAGCCGAGAAGGATCAAGGACGTGAATTTTCTGGAAGAAGTCTTCTTGGGTTGATTTTTTTACGTGGAAAATGCACCTGCTTTCAGATATTTTTTTTCTTTACGTCTCCATATTTCGGTTGGAAACTTCTGGAGGGTTTAGAAACATGTCAGATTGTGGTCCAACCTACAAGATAATGTTTCCTTCTAAAAAAGAAATGAAAAAAGAAAATTATTAAATAAAGGGATATTCATACGCCATTGAACATGGCAGACTCGAACTTGAAGCATCCATCGCCACTCGTTTAGCTTCAATTCTTGGAATCCCCTAGTATCTGACCCAACCCTCTACTGTATGATTCAACAGTTGCCTTGACTAGCAATTATGATGTATGTCTGTCCCTCTCTCTGTCCTCTGTAAATGTTAATGGAATCCATGGAGAGGCTAGTCCAAGTGCCAGAAACAGAGGTGCATATTGACTTCACACCTAATTGCAAGTGCCGTGCCAACGTACGCCTCAACTCTCTCTGCGCCACCTCCCCCGTCGCCTTCAAGGTTCAAACCTCTTCACCACACAAGTTTCTTGTCAACCCACCCACCGGACTCCTTCCTCCCTTAGGCTACGCCACCCTCCAAATCATCCTCAAGCCTCAGCCACAAGCCCCGCCCGCTTTCCCTCGCTCCCCCTCCGATCGCTTTCTCCTCAAGACGGCGCTTTTCCCGGCCGACGTGTCCCAGTCGACTGACGGCGAGTTTCTCAACTCGTGGTTCTCCACTCTTCCTCGCGGTTCCACTCACGACATTAGGCTCAAGGTTGCCTTTGTTGGCCTGTTTCTTCTCCACCACGCGGTGGGTAAAGGAGACTGTGAGGCCGTGAAGAACATAATCAAGAGACAAAAGCAGATTCTGCTGAATTTGGCGCCAAATGAAGCTGAGTCGCTCCTCCGAGTCGCTGCCGATTTGGCTAACTCGGAGGACATGGTTAATATCCTGCTTGAAGCCGGGTTGAGCATTCAGGCGCGAGCCAGGATTTGTGGAACTACCAATGTGGGTTTTTATCTGATAGATCCTCGGTGGGAATCCAAGGGGTGGAACGAGCTACACGTGGCGGCACTTTTCGATCGAACGGAGGAGACTTCTAGCTTGGTGAAAGGGAGGGGATCTGCGGCGTTGGATTGCAGAGACAAGGAGGGGAGGACAGCGCTGCATTTTGCGGCAAGCAAGGGAAATATCGGGTGTGCTAAGGTATTGTTGGAATCCGGTGCAGAGAAAGATGCTCGGAGTAAGGACGGTAGGACCGCATTGTATAGAGCAGCAGCAAACGGGGACCATCCGATGGCGGAGATGCTGATGGAGGCGGGTGCGGACCCCACAATTTCGGATCATCGAGGCCGTTCACCTCTTGATGTTGCCCGCGAAAAGGGACAAGAGAATATCATTGCGACGCTTGAACGCGGAGAACAAGTGCTAATGGCAGCAAGACGGGGGGAAGTAGATGAGCTTGAGCGGCTGCTGGTGAGGGGTGCGAGCGCCAAGTACTGTGATCAATATGGGGTGACTGCGCTGCACGCAGCGGCCATGAAAGGGCAAAAGGAGGCAGTGCTACTGCTGCTTGACAAGGGTTGGGATTTGGAGTGCTGCCGGGATAACGAAGGGCACGAGCCGCTGCATATGGCGGTGGAGAGCGGGAGTATTGGCACAGTTGAGGTGTTGGTTGGCAAGGGAGCCAATGTGAATTCCAAGACCAAGAGTGGTGCCACTCCTCTTTACATAGCTAAAGCCCTGGGTTATGAAGCCATCTCCAAGTTTCTTATCTCCAAGGGAGCTTTCTCTTCTACTTCTTCTCTGTCATGTATAATTAAAGATTGACAATAAAACTTGAGATGGAGAAGCAAACAGCTTTGACCATGTAAAATTTCAATTACTTTATATATGCAATAAATTACATTAATAAAAATGTGATACAAAGTAAGATTTAAGATGTTCAAATGGGTCGGAGGAAACTGGACAAGAAAGTGTGAGGATCTGTTCACAAAATGGCACGGCAGGCGAATAGTCCATCTGGGTTATCTCAGCCCCACATATAGCTTGGGCCAGAAACAAGTTATGCCAAAACCTTGGCCCACACCATTGCTGGTATAGCATTAGATTTGGGTGAGGATATGTGTACAATTATATCTTTAAATGAGGATAATTTTAAAATTTTAAACATAAAATTTCGGCAAAAATTAAAAAAAGTGATTTTTAACTGCAAAAGTCGCCGCTTTGCCTGCGGAATTCAGATTGAATAGTGCAAACCATGGTTGTTTATTGCACAAGGAGTGTATGATTTTGACTGGGACTGGGTTATCCGTGTTGGTAACGATATCGAAGCTTTTCTTCTTTGACAAGAGAGAGTGGCAACAGCTCCCTTTGACAAGAAATAAACTCGACTATATAGGGACGGACTTTCGTTTTGTGGATTACTTGGTAAGAATACAGATGCAGCATTAACCACCACTATCTCCTTCCACCAAATCAAAGCACAACGAATCAACTAATCATGTTCACAATCAGATCGCAACCACCCTTCACCACCCACTTTCTCCTCATCTTCATTGTCGCGTTACTGGGTCCCATCCTAGGCCCAGCCCTCGCCAGAAGACCCCACGTCATAACCTTCCGGTCGACGAACCTCTACCCTGAGGGGCTAGCCTGGGACCCTTCAGCTGAACATTTCCTCGTTGGCTCTCTCCATCACCGAAAGATCCTCTCTGTCTCCGACGCTGGCGTCGTTCAGACTCTGGTTTCCGACCCAGGCCTCCCTGAGAATACCACCATATTGGGCCTCGCTGTCGACTCCCTCAACCGCCGTCTCCTCGCAGTTGTCCAGTCCATTGCTCCGCTCCCTCCCTTCAACGCCCTTGCCGCCTACGATCTCCGCAGCGGCAACCGCATCTTTCTATCCCTTTTGCCCTCCCTCCGCGAGGACGATGGCGCCACCCACGAGGGTGCAAACGACGTTGCGTTGGATTTTAAGGGCAACGCCTACGTGACGAATTCAGCCGGGAATTTCATTTGGAAGGTCGACGCGAGAGGCGATGCGTCTATCTTCTCAAGATCTCCGCTTTTCACGAAAAATCCGTTAGCCGTTGACCCGAATGCGTCCTTTAGCGGGTGCGGGCTAAACGGGATTGCTTACGTAAGCAAAGGGTACCTGCTGGTGGTGCAAAGCAACACGGGGAAGATGTTTAAGGTGGACGCAGAGGACGGGACGGCGAGGGAAGTGCTGCTGCCGGAGAAACTGGTCTGGGCCGACGGGGTAGCGGTGAGAAGAGACGGTACCGTTTTGGTGGTCTCACAACAGACGCTTTGGTTCCTGAAGAGCCAAGACAGCTGGGGAGAGGGGGTGGTGTACGACAAGAAAGAGCTTGATATGGAGGGGACTGCTACGTCTGTGGTGACGGGAGGGGAAAACAGGGTATACGTGTTATATGGTTATGTGCTGGAGGGAATTAAAGAGGTGGGAAGAGAAGAGTTCAGAATAGAGGAGGTGAGATCTGAGAAGGACAGTGGTGAGGAAAAGGTGTGGGTATATCTGCTGATTGGATTTGGGTTCGCTTATTTTTTGATTTGGAGGTTTCAGATGAGGCAGCTTGTGTCAAACATGGACAAAAAGACCAATTAAGTAGCCTCTCGTGTTATCTTCCCATCTTTCCCCCTTAATTTTCAAGTTTTTAGGCTTATTTATATATGTATTCTTTTTTGCCATCAGTTAAGCAAGATGGATTTCCTTTCCAGATTTATAAATAGCAATTGTGTTTATTATTCTTTTTTGGGTAACTTAGAATTATATGCCAACTTAAACAATGAATCAACAAGCAAAAGAAATTTAAGAAGCAATGTCATTTGTCGATTATGATAAATGCTAACATAGGTCACTTGGACATTTAAGTGCTGTACCAACAAATCATCCAATGGGACGAACTTATCATTGAGTTAGAATAAGAGATACTTCAACCAGAGGTTTAATTGCATTTTGCCGGCGATTTGGGAGCGAAGGAGTGGCAATGTTTTTCTCCTTTTCTGATGGCAGTGCTTTCTCCCTTAGTCTCTGAAGCTTCTCCATGGCTTTTCTCTTGTTCTCAACTCTCCCAACGCGAGCTTCAGCAGGTTCAGCTGAGACACCAAGAACTGAAACAGCCATATATAGCATTGTGTTTCTTCTTGAAACAGTTTGAGTCCTCAATGCTTTTTGGCTCAGCTCTTCCTCCCTTTTCATCTGTAATAAGGATAGAAAATGTGATTGTTGAAAGTAATAGGCAGCAGCCAGTAACTAGCTCCAAATTTCAAGTGAATAATAAACCTGATCCCTTTACTATCTTTCATTGTTTGCCCACATGATTCCAAAACCCAGATTTAGTATAGAAAAGGAAGTTTTAAGGAACATAGTAATAATCATAAACAAACACAAAATCTCTAAAGCTCAGCAAAATGGTCCAGTCTGCCTGCCAATAGACCTGTAAAAGAACAGGATAACTATATGATTACTGCCACCAAAGTTGTCTCTATGATCTTTCATTCTATGAAAAATCATAAAACTTAGTAGTACCTGTTACTCCATTCTTAGATGTTCTATAAGTCATTGTGATCTTATACATATAGAGACTCTTCAATTTCAAATTCAAGCTGCATATCTGAATTTGCTCATACATTTTACTATCAATTGTCTAAATCAATCTTGCTACTTGACATAACTAGACCTTCACTTTGATGAATTTGCTAATCTTTTGTGCAACCATTCACCTTCTGGATTGTTCAAAAGGTCAATAGATCCCAGAAAGGGATCAAACTGAAGGTATCCAAAACAGTATTCATGTGTACGTTGCACAGCTCAGGCTGCTGGGTCAAACTTCTCATCTTGCAAAAGCACCTGCCTCAAGTTGTAATGAATTCCTTCTCTACGCTCTACAATTTTTTTCACTCTTTTTGGAGCATAAAAAATTGGAACCTCTCTTCTTCAAAAATAGAGTTATGAATAGATTTTGTTTCCAAGATTATAGTAGACTGAATAATTACTAAATATTTAATATCAGCTGCAATTCATCTTAGTTATTGTTGTAACTTCAATCAGTTTTACCTTTGAACAACTTGCATAAACACATAAATAACTCATAATGTGAAGCTTCAGGACACGTATCCTTAAAACTACATCTCTATATATAATCCTCTAATCATTCTATGTAATTGAGACTTTAGGCACACTATTCATCATATTCTTCAGTATGCAATGTTATTTGGTTTACAGAACAAAACCAGAGTTTCTTAACATGTTCTAGCTATTTTCTTCACATATATTGCAGGTGTTCTCCAGTTACCCCAGATCCTACTTGTTAATGGAATCTCCACCAGATAGAATTGTTAAAGTTTTTTTTTTTTTTTTTTAAATCTTTTTTTGCTGATTCTGAATATGACTCCTCACTTATTTTCTTAGAACTTCACACTTTGAAAGGAAATGTAAATTATAATCAATCTACAATGGACTAACTAAACTAGTTTCCATCTGTAACTTTCTTCCAGGCCCAGCTTTGAAGCAGTGGCATGCGCCAAGTCAAATTTCAGTGCTGCTGCCCAAAGGCCAAAGCCCTAAAAAAATTCCCATATTTAAGCTTAAAGGCAAGTAACAATCGACTGTAGACAAACTAAACTTGAATAAAGATTTACTATATAATGCAATTAAGACCACGTAGCCTATTCCCATCATTGAAGGCTCAATCTTGTAACAAGCAGTTGCATACGCCACGCTGATTTCTGTGTAAACCAGGCAAAGCACAGAGCGAATTGAATTAAGCTCTTCTAAATTATTCTCCAGAAGTTGCATATTTGATGGAATTAACAATATGCACAAGCTTCTACAATGATGAAGGGGAACACCGAAAAGAAAGAGGACAGAAATGGAAGATCATAAAGATGGAAAATTCAATAGAGTGCCACCAATCTCAGGGCTTTATAATTCGCCACCATCTAGAAAGTGTGAAGTACAGTTCTATTGGATTTTTCCAAGAAACGGACAGAAAGAGGAGCCATTATAAGTAGAGGAGTTGAGTTGCAAAACCTGGATTAGTAAAGGTGGAGCTCTATTTGTTGGTAAGATCGCCCAGTCCTTTCCTCCGAAGACCGCAGGCGCTGTGGATCCTACGATCCTCCAGTTAGAGGTTGTCATCTTTCTCCGGCGAGATTGCCTTGGTCACTGGCACCTAATGTTGGAAATGTTAGATATTGTTGTAGGGGTTGGGAATTATCTATTTATCTTGTATTTTTATTTAAAACTTTTTTGGTGATCTAAATGGGCCTAGGCCCGAAATCAGTATGAGATTTTGGCCCACAAAAACACCAACATGTTGGAGTGATGGGTTCTTTCGTCGTTGAATAAATGAAAATTCTTTAGATCCTTACAGATAGCTAATCAAACCAGGAGGCTCTAGAAATTTACAACATCAAAATCATCAAATAGATATCCATTAAGAGCACCTTAAAAGATCAAAACAGAAATAAAACAAAAATTTGCGTGGCAATTTTAGATGTGCACCAAAATCTTCGGAGCCGTCGGCACTTTGAAGTTGGCTTTTCGATCATCTCCTTACGTTAACATGAAAACAAGAAAAGAAAGCCAGAAACCAAAAGGTGATATTTGCAGGTTAAAGCTCCTTCAGTTGCTACATGACTTGACTACCTCAGTTTCACTACGTACTGGTGAAGAAAGCTGCATGATCATGTTACACGTCAAACTTTTTTTTCCTAAAGAAAAAGATCACTCATTTACTAGTAGTATATTAAAGCTTTGAGATGCCATGGAAAAGAATCAAGATAGATAAACACACCACAAACACGAGTGCATACTTATACAACATTAATTAGAGAAGAGAGGTGCCGATGTTGATAGGGCTGATGAATGATAATTTTCGGAAATGGAGGAGTGGCGGCCATTATCGCGTCGTGGTGCTGCTTAAATTCCATGCAAAAGCCTTGTCAAACGGACAGTCCCTTCCTCATACCTCTGCTTCGTTGCCTTGTTCGACCTTGATAACTTTTTATTACCATCATCAAATTCTATTTGATTGTAAATCATTTTATTCTCTTAAGTTCAAACTAATGATGATTAACTCCTATTTCATATGCTTCTTTCAATTCTGTTCATTGCATCCAGAATCTAAAGGCATATACGTGTGGTTTATCTGGAAAAAACTGATTTCCTAATCAAATTAATAGTTAGATAACAAAAGATCATGATAATTTATAAATACTGTATTAGGGTGTATTAGAATTTTCGTTACTCCTACACACCAAGATATATATATATATATATATATATATATATATATGCTTGTGTTTGTATGTTGTGTGACTAGTTCAGGGTCGAACAGACAATGAATCGAAGGATAATATGGGAAGGCTGTTCACTTGACAAGCATAGCACGGAACTCACTCACCATCACTTCCTGATTATTCAATCTTCTTTCATCCGCATCAGAATCGATTAAGCTGGACTATCACACCATAAAACCCACCTGCAACCACAACCAGACTCTTATATTCGAGATTGCACTTTTAAACTTCTGCAAACCATGGTCAATATCAAGAATAAACATATCTTATAATTACACATAAACATATACAATTGTAAAGAAGAAGACGATATATATATATAAAAGTAGCCCCGAAGTTACATATATATATATATCCCCTTCTGCTTCTCAAGAAGACAATACATATAAAGCAAAGATATATACCGACAAACTAGTTCTTAAGGTTGTCCCCGAAATGGGCATCTGTGTGCAAGTAAAGAACCCATATGAGTGCTTGATACATATACATACAGAAGTAACTCATAGGAGAGATAAAGGCCATGAGCATTAAAGTTGGTGAGTTGTTTAAGGTTTTTGGGAATGAATTTTGATTGGATAGGTATTCAAGTTCTTCAGAGTGAACATTGTTTAATGTGGTGTTTTGACTGACGGGTAAAAGCGTGAGAATTCCAACGACCTTCCTTGTGCAGTTAAACGCCACATACTACTGCACTCATCATCTATTTCTTCTCTTTATTTTTAATTATCTTACCATCTTTTATACATACATGAGAAAGTAAGTAAAATTCTAGTCAACATTGTTAAACAATACGCGTGATGTATACCCCACACACACACACACGTGTGTGTATATAAATGCCTGTCTATACCCACTTCTAGAAATTTAAACACGTACATAGATATTCATTAGTACTACTTTCCTAGTAATTATAAAAATATAATTAAGTAAGCTTTCAATTACAATATTAATATAACTCGCTGGTCAAAGGGAATACACACGTATAAAATGTAGTTTTGCCTCCTAAAAGCATCCAAAGCAGTTACGTATAAAGAAGCAGTTTTTATATTTTACCATTCTGATGCAGATGATGAAATATCTGTTAATTGGTAGAAAAAACTTGCAGATAAGAGCATATTTTTATATATGTGTATGGAAAATAAAGAGCTTTATTGAAATCATTAAGATGCCTTAAACACTGATAACTTTTAAAAGTGAAGGAATTTGATTTCGCCTCCTTCATTCTGCTAGCTTTCCATTGAATAAATAGGTGAATATACATCAGTCAAAAAACCCATTTTTTAAGCTGGTATTTCTCTATTTACCATTGTAGAGCTTATCTATGGAAAAGGAGATCAGTATTCTAATGCTGATATCTATCTATTTACAGCTGGATAAGCTATCTATGGACAATGGGATAACTACAAATATATGAGCTGTATACAAAGTAATAGTTTGCTTGGATATGGTAACAAACACCATTAACAGTGTACAGATAGAACAAGAGCATCACGACCTTAACTACAAGATCCCGCCCATCGACACCCTACGAACATTCAATCTCATCATTAGGCCAACAAATGAAAAGCGAAAGACTACATGCACTGAGAAAACAATGCTCCATAAAGCCGTCAGTAGCTGATGATTAAGTTCATGAAAGTCTTGAGATACTGTGATAATTGCAAGGACCATTTGCTTTTCACCAAATATATTAACAAACATACTTCCGGTATTTATAAATTAAGAAAAGAAGAGCATATAGTAAATACCCTTGTAATTTTTAAGTTGATACGTCAACGTAATTACATATCCAGCATTGTTCTAATTAGTATTCAAGGACTAGATTGGGAGCAATACATGTTCTAAAGCTCATAATTTATGCATATATTTCCTTGTAGCCAGCTGGGACTTTTCCTGGCATCCTCGGTCTGCATTTTCTTTGTTGTTTCCTTTTTGTTTCATGATCGTCCATTGGTGCTGCTTATTTCTTCCAGCTTGGGTTTGTATTTCGCCCTCGGCTTCTTCTCTTCTCTCTTGGCTTTTTGTACCTTTCTCTGTTCATTTCATCCTTAGGAATTAATAAGATCTCATAGTCCTTTTAATTTCTTCGACTTTGAGGTCTCAGTGTCTTGAATTCCATGCAAACCCCTGTCAAATCAACAGCCCTTTGCCACTATACCTTGCTTTCGTCGTTAGCTCGACCTTCAAATTACTATACCCGACAACTTATTATATTATATGTATATGTTTTGAATTATAACTACCTTTCACCCCACAAAATTCCTGATATACAGATCGTTTAGCAACGTTTTTTTTTTCGAATGAAGAGCATTGCAAGAGTAAATCACTTAAGCTGATACCATAACTAATAATCTTATCTAAAGCCATTAGTTTCTTAATACCTTCTGTTGTCGTGTAATTCTCAAGGAGTATCAAACGGAACATTCTTAATACGTAAATACAACTGGAGGTGCATTCTGAATGAGATTTATATTCAATGTGTGTATAGAGCGTGCATGAATTCGCAAATAGTCATTCATGTTGTGATAATACTGATCTATTTTTAAAACCTAAAGCTACTTAAACATGCATGTGTGTTGGTGTGTATTGTTGGCGTTACTGGTTTCATGGCACCTGAAAGTCATATGCAGTAGAAACCACATGAATGGTTTTCTTAGCTTTAACGTCGGTTTACACCTAAAATATATAGTTTGGATGAAGGCATTGAAACAAAGCAAACGAAAATTCACGACATATGTTAAATTTAACTATGAGGTTATTACATATGTAATGCATAGATGTGTGTGTGTGTATATCCATATATACATAGTCTTGCTTAGCTAGAAAGGAACTAAAGTATATATATGTATGTTAGTTTGATTAAATTAAATCATGTAGATTTGACAGGCCTAGGTCAACAAGTGGATCTACTGAATATTTTTAACAAGCCCGCCTGTGTATTATTTGTATTTATAGACTATTCGTGCTTTAACCTAACCAAACCCGAAGGTGATGACGAGGTCGGGTTTTCCTAGTCAAGGAAAACAGAAAGAAGGGAGAAATTATTCAACTATAGCTAGCTAGGGCTTTCACCATGATTAAAGAAATTTTCACATGTCTATGTGTGTTTTGATGAGCATATAAATGTTTTCAAGGTCGAACAGACAACGAAACAAAGGTTAACCAGCAAAATACTGCTAACTTGACAAGCGTTGCACAGAGTCCACTCACCCATATCCATCAACAATTAACATTAATATAATTTCTCTTCCCATCATCAATTAATCTCCTTCTTCTTTGTTACACATTTCATCAAAATCAACCTGGCAAACAATCAGAAAGTTCATACATAATTATATATGAAGATAACATTCGTAGAAGAATAAAAAGAAGAAATTAAACTAGCTAACTAGAAGAAAGAAGATAACCTGCGCAGTTGAGAGCAGAATATAGACTGCTGTCTGCCAAAAATTAAGGTTGAGGTGTTGGATTTATAGAGAAAAAAGTAGGCAAGAATTCTAGATGTAGGAAGGATTTGAAACGTGTGAAGGGCGTCCCCTTTTGCCTGTATCTGCTACATGTGGCACGTGCGAAAGCTTTGACTCACGGGTGAATCATAGCATTTTCTCGGGGAAAGGTGCATGTGCATGGACAGATTCCTCAACACCGACTTCAACTTCCCGGCAAGTACAACACACACACACACACGAGAGAGAGAGAGAGAGAGAGAGAGAGAGAGAAGGAGAGAGAGAGGATTAAGGCGTAAGCATGGGTTTCGTAAAAAAGCAGTAAATGATGAGTGAGTAGATGAGTAAGTAAGGAAGAGAGATGATGAAATTGGAAGGGCGAGGTTAGCTGTGGTCGTGTGATTCTGAAATTTCTGATGATCACAACAAATATTTTTTTTTTTCATTTTTTCTTTTTCATTTCATCCTCCATCTACCATCCTCTTCTCTCCTAGTTATCATTTTTTTTTTCTTTTTTTTTTTCTCAAATTCGTGAATTTCTGATTGATTGACTTTTGGTCTCATGTTAACTTAATTATCTCCTTCACAAGCTGCGATAGAGAAGGGATTTCTTCCCAGTGTAAGGTGTAATAAATATATGTATATGTATACATACACTGTGACTGGTGGGTGGACGCCATTGACAGGTGCGAAGAGCTTCGTTTTGTTGGTTGTTGGGAACTAGCTGCTCATATATATAACATTCATCATCTTTCTACTACACATCCGATGGTTCCAATTGTAGATGAACTTTGATAGACTCAACTTTAAATAAGGAGAACCTTAAATGGTACTGGTTTGTTCTAATAACTTGTCTGCAGTAATTTTGGATCTGTAACGTTTCAAGAGTTATGCAATGAAATTAAAATTACAATGTTATTGAAATTCAGAAAATTTAGTTATAAAGTCACCGTAACATTTTGATTTTATTTTAACTCTAAATAAATTTGAAATTAAGTTTATTATTATTATTATTATTTTGTAAAAAGAAAGAAAACTGTTTAACCCAGAAAGTGAAACTCAGCCCCCAACTCGCAAACAGGCCCAGCCCATTCCTCTACTTTCCGAAGACGGTGTCGTTTTGGCATCATCCTTCACTCGGCTCCCTCGCAACAAAAAAAAAAAAAAAAAAAAAAAGAGGATCTGCAGGAAAGAGGAGGCGCCACCTATTTATCTTATTTATTTAATTTTTTTTATAAATATATTAATATTTTAATAAAAATACAATATTGAACTTACAAAATTCAAACTCAAAATCAAATATGAAGTATTATTATATGTGCATGTGTGTGTGTGTACAGAGTTACCGACCGACTGGTTTTTGTTGAACTAGTAATCTGGCTTTGGCTTCAAGTACGGAAGTGGAAGTGGAAGTGGAAGCGGAAGTGGAAGTGGAAGTGGAAGTCACCTAGAATTTCCTAACTTGTAGTATCATTTTTTTTTGCTGTATAAAATGATATATTAATATTTTTCTGAGGAAGAGCAGCAGCTAAGAAACGTGTATGAAAGTTTTGGTTAAAATGAACAGTTGATTCAACTGGAGTCTAAAGATTAATGATTACCATTTTCTTCGATTACAAGTCAAAAAAGCTCATTCATCTGTTTATCCCTTTCACATTCTTCCAATTTATATCTTCTTCAATCAAACCCATGTTTTATTTCTTTTGAAATAGATAGCAAACAAGAAGATTACAATGGAATTTGAGGACAGTTCATGGCATCTGGACACCAAAATTTGAGGAAGGTAACATTAAACTCAGCGGTCTCTTTCAGTAAATGACTGAAACTTTTCTTAGTTCCCTTTTTTTACATTAATTGTTACCAGTCGTAGCTCCATGGGCAAGAATATATTTTGGTTGTGTGTATTCCATCACATGATAAGTTTTTATCTAGTATCTCATTAGACTTGGATGCACTGACATTCTAATCCACCAATATACTATTAATTACTTCAAAAAGATACAATTACCGTAAGAATCTGAACGAAAATTTTAGTTTTAAATAGATTACATCTCAAATTTACTAATAGAGAAAGCAAAAAAAGAAGATGTTACTTAAATTATGCACCGACTCGTTTCGATGAAGTCTCGCACACCAACTTAATATATATGTCATGAATAACTTCTACGTATCAAGTAATTAAGCAGAAGCAATATCCAAACATACGTATGTTTAATTTCATTAGTTAACATAGAAACATAAATAAATACCAAAACGAAGAATAAGAAAAAGGGAGAGCAGAAGCAATATCAGGTTTAAAATGAGAGATATATATTTATTTGCGTGGTTGGACAAAAAATAAACAATATTATACAATTACAGAAAAAAATGAAGTAAAAATTTAACCCTCTATATGTCTCTGTGTGTGTGTGTGTGTGTGTATATATAGAGGGTTTTGTTACTAAGGGCAGTTTGTGTAGTCGTGGGTAAAAATGGTAGGTTGGTGGGAAGGATTGAGACTGTGGTGGCATGGAGAAGGTCCGGAAGGAGGAACAGGCGCTCGTTCAAGCTGGTTTCCTAACAAATATTTGTACCCATACATCTCCTCATCCATTCCCATTAATCCCCTCAATCTTAATCCTCCTGATCTGCTCACCATTAATCCCAAATACAACACGAACAACCAAAATCTTTTCTCCCCAAAACACCCCATATATATATATATATATATATATATCCCTTTAATAGTCTACACCCAGAAAAAATTGAATCCTGTCTACTTCTCCTTCTCTTTGTCCTTTTACTTTTGCTTCTGCTTCTCCTTCTGCTTGCTGCTTCCAAACCAGAACAAATAAGCTCTCTATATTTTTACACCACAGATCAAGAAATTGATATTGGCGAGAGCGAAGGAGAATTCTAATAGTGGTGTTTCTGTTGGACAAAAATAGGGTAGAGTATAAAATATGTATTAGAGGGTGGTGTTCATATATACATACACACACACACACACACACACACACACATATATATATAATATTAAGCTTGAGTTGAAAGAAAAGCGCGGGTTGCTTTTGAAATGCGTTAGCGCTAGTAAGTGGAGGTCATTAATCCTGAGAGTTGAACAATGCAATAGCAGCCATTTTAGAAACAGCACAGTGTATAATCACATAATCAATAACTTCTTCCTTCTTTTCTTTTCTTTTTTTTTTTTTTTTAAAGATCTTTTTTCTTCATGCATGCTATACACACACACACACACACACACATATATATATATATATATACTGTGCTGCCAAATCCCAGTTGTCCGCATACGATTATATTTGATTATACTACATATATATATATATATATAAATTGTATCCAACATTTGACTGCAGATTCAACAGTAAAAAATAGCCATGGTTTTCTTAATATTATATACATATATATATGTATATTATGGTGTGCTTTGATAAATCCCAGAATTGGACTGATCCAAGATTAATCCTCTACGTCTCTAAAACGTGATTATTATTATTATTATTACTACTACTTAGGCGTGGTGGCCAACTCAGTCTTTTGAGTTTTTTCTGCTTCCAAGTATCTTAACTCTTGACTGAAGACTAATTAATTTGATACTAATCATGATTTTATAATTTTATATTACTATCTGGATAATTACTCACTAAAAATTTATATTTTTTCATTAAAAAAATTTATTTATATTGAATTATCCAAACAAGTAAATAAAAATAAATTATGGGATAAAATATATATTTTATAATTTTGAGTTTACAATTTTTACAAACAGTCTGATATTTATTCATTATGATATAATGGGCTGAATAAATATTTCCGGCCCATTGGGCCTATATGATTTTCTTGAAGTTCTTTTGGGCTTGGACTTGTAACTCGACCAATTATACGTTCAATTGATTTGATTTGATTTTCAATAATTATTTTTTAATTAAAAAGTTTGCTTTCAATACGTTGATTTTAATTTTTAATACCATAAATTATATGTATTTGTGATTATAAAACGAAATTTAATAAACCAAAAAAAAAAAAAAAATTCCTCCTTAAAAATTCCAATTACATTTTATTTATTTGTGAAAACGTTTACGAATTGGCTGCGAGCAGAGAAGCCAAGCCCTCTCTGTTTTTCCGCTTTAAAAATGCTGTGGAAAAGCTCGCACTTCAAGTGGGTACCCTCCTCGGGCAAAGCTCACACCTCTGCACAATTCGTTTCTAATCAAAATCAGGTTTAGGCTTTCCCACTCCGCGGACGTTGTAAGTTTCTCCCTGATACTGTCTTCCCTGCGTATCCATAATCAGGTAAATTACTCTGTCTTCATATTTATGCACTTATTTTCAATACCCTTTAAGCTCCCATTAAAATTTCATTCGGTTTCCATTTCCTGTTCTGGGTTCTTTAATTTTAGTTTGAGCACGCAAGAATTTTGTCTGAGAACTGTTGCTTCTGCTATTTTACCGTGGCTGCTGATTGTTCCTGGAGCTAAGTCTAGTGCGTTTATTTTGGGCTCTTTTGAATTTTACACAGAGGGATTGAAGTGAAAGCTTCTGTCTTTTTCGGTTTTTTTCTACTGATTGGTTTCATTAATCCTGTTCGGTTTTTCTTTAAATATTTCAATTTCCTTAAGTTTGTGCATGAATTTCAATAATTGTAAACTGATATCAAGAGTTTCTTTCTGTTAGCCTTAGCCTTTTGCTTTTCTTTTCTAGCTCTTGATTTATTTGGGGACCTCTATTGGGGGTTGCTGGTTCACAGGTTACAATAGAAGCTTAGTGGCCTACACGTTATTAGAGCTTCAGATATAAATCATCGAAATGCCTGGGATACTTTTTGTTTCTCCGTTAATCTTTCCCCACTTAGGTGCAAGTACAAGGTTAGGTGCAATTGTCGTGTAAAACTACTTTTGGTTGATTTTATTGTTGAGCTTAATTTAAATACTTTAAACCGTTGCAGAACTGTTGTTAGGATGTCTGTTACTGGAACCAGAAATGCGGGAGTATCATTTGAAGCTATGACAATAAAGCCTCCCAAACATCCTACCTACGATTTGCAGGGGATCATCAAGCTAGCCCTTTCTGAAGATGCCGGTGATCGAGGTCCTTTTTAATATCTTACTAACACTTAATCCAGTCCTTCCTCATTTCGGATATTTGTCTGTTGATAATGCTCTTATTGTATTTTTTATGTTACTGGATTGTAATTCAGTACTTTTTGGGTGATCTTAACCTTTATGATTGTTGGTCAAATGATTACCCAATAGCTCTTGACAAGTAAAATTGAGTTATACTTGATAATCTACTTGAATCTCAGCATCTAATTGATATCCATGAATCAACTGCAGGAGACGTGACCTGTCTGGCCACCATCCCATCTGAAATGGAAGTGGCAGCCCATTTTTTGGCCAAAGAGAATGGTGTTGTAGCTGGAATTGCTCTAGCGGAGATGGTATTTCATGAGGTTGATCCTTCGTTAAAGGTATCATTGAAATGGGATTATTCCTTTTGGGTTTGGATTGTCTTTGCTGCTTTTATGCTGGACATACTTGATTTGCATTTGCTTATCAGGTGGAATGGTTTCAAAAGGATGGAGATTGTGTTCAAAAAGGACTGAAGTTTGGAAAAGTTTCTGGTAAATGCAGAGTGCTGTTCCTTTATAGCACTCGTCTAGATGCTTTTAAAGTGATTAGTTGAGTTCTCCTCTTCTTATTATGCAGGGAATGCATACAGCATTATTGTTGCTGAAAGGGTAGCACTGAATTTTATGCAGCGGATGAGTGGAATAGCAACTCTAACTAAGGTTTTAGTCATTTTTTGTGAACGTTTGGAGTGTAATGACGTAACAAGTTGTTATAACTCCCTGTTGAAATTGTTAATTGAGCATGTAATGATAGCCACATGAAACAGATAAGCAGCAAATGGCTGTCTAAGAATATAGGTTTCTGTGGCATTTATGGAGTGGGAAAGTGAAAATTAGAGGGTTGACTAGTACTATTTTTTTCTGAAATCCTCATTTCGACAAAAAGAAACAAACGCTATGGAACAAGAATGAAACTAATGGTATCTTGTTGTAATTATCTTCTTAGGCATATTGAATATCAACATGGATGTTTTTATGTTCATAATCCTTCCAGGCAATGGCAAATGCTGCATGTCCTGCATGTATTCTGGAGACAAGAAAGACTGCTCCAGGGTTGCGTCTAGTGGATAAATGGGCAGTAAGTTCTCTTCCTTGCTTTATTTACACTTTTATCTTCTCTTTGGTGTACAGTCATTTCATTTTATTTTGATACTTTATCATAGGTCTTAATTGGTGGGGGCCGAAACCATAGAATGGGCTTATTTGACATGGTGATGATAAAAGATAATCATATATCTGCAGCTGGAGGTATCATAAATGCCATTAGATCTGTCGACCAGTACTTAGCGCAGAAGAATCTTCAAATG